TTCCTTTGTTCAAAAAATCCAAACCAAACCAAAAACCCAACGTAACCAAGCCCAAGAGCAAAAGAAGCCCATTTCAACTTAAGATAAAACCAACCACAAGGAGCCGATAAATATAAGTTTAATTAGAGTTTAGAGCCCGATGAATATAAATTTAATTAAAGTTTAAATTTAAAAGAACATAAAAATCTCCTAATTCGAGACCAACTAACCTGAAGGACTCGAGGCGTTACAGAACTCCTCCGAACCAAGACTGGCCGACCTGAGAAGCAGATCGACCAGAAGAAGCTAAGTCAAGAGAAGAGGAAGGCAGATTCTAAGTCTAAGGACAAGAGATCGTCCTCTTCTGGCAGCCGAACCGAGTATCGTAGGTCGAAGAGCGGCCCCAGCCGGAACCGACCTTATGAACGGTATACCCCAACTACCATCCCAATCTCTGAAATCCTTACGAACATCGAGGAAAGCGGGATGGAAAAGCTCCTCAAGCGACCTGAGAAGCTCCGAAGAGAGCCAGAAAAATGCAGTAAAGATAAATATTGCCGTTTTCATCGCGATCACGGCCATAATACGATAAGTTGCTGGGAGCTGAAGCGCCAGATTGAAGACCTCATTCAAGATGGCTACTTCAAAAAATTTGTGGGCAAACCGAGGTCTAACTCGGTGGAAAAGAAAGAAGAGAGGAAGCGTTCAAGAACGCCGCCTCGACGAGAGGACCGACCTGCGGTCATCAACACTATTTTCGAAGGCCCAAGCGGGGGCCAGTCTGGAAACAAAAGGAAAGAATTAGCTCGCGAGGCCAGGCGCGAGGTGTGCATTATCAGGGAGCAGAAACCTACTTGCTCCATTACCTTCGAGGATACCGATCTGGAGGGAGTTCACTTGCCTCATAATGATGCACTGGTGATCGCTCCCCTTATCGATCACGTCTTGGTCAGAAGAGTGTTGGTAGATGGAGGTGCATCTGCCAACATCTTGTCCCTCCCGACATATTTGGCCTTGGGGTGGACAAGGTCTCAATTGAAGAAAAGTCCAACACCCTTGGTTGGATTCTCTGGAGAATCGGTCTCCCCTGAAGGGTGTAACGCCCCGAGTCCCTCAGGTTAGTTAGTCTCGAGCTAGGAGATTTTTTTTTTTAAATTAAACTCTAATTAAATTTATATTTATCGGGCTCTGAACTCTAAGTAAATTTATATTTATCGGGCTTTGTGTGGTTGGTTTTAAGTTGGGATGGGTTTCTTTTGCTCTTGGGCTTGGTTATGTTGGTTTTTGTTGGTTTGGTTTGGTTTTAAAACAAAAGAAAAGTAAAAGAAAAGGGAAAAAGGAAAGAAAACAAAAAGAAACCCTAGCACCCAAGTTCTCTTTCTTTCTTTCTTCTTCTTCCTTCTTTCCCTAGCCGCCCACCCCCCTTCTCTTCCTCTCTTTTCTCGTTCCAGCGACCCATCCAGCGGCGGTGAATTCGTCACAGCAGCAAGCACGGCAGCGTCGCGGTGGGGCAGCAGTCACCTTCCCGCTGCTTTGCGGCGTTTTCCGGC